GTAAAAGTTGAAACAAGCTATTTATGTGAAAATAAGAAAAGCGAAACGTGATCTTAATTATGCCATAACGAAGACCTTGAATAATTTTATGAAAAAAAAAGTCATGATTAGTAAGAGTTAAAGTGACCTATTTATATGAAATTAAGAAAAGTGAAACATGACCTTAATTACACTATAACGAAGACTTTGACTAATTTTATGAAAAAAAGTTATGATTAGTAAAAGTTGAAGTGACCTATTTATGTGAAAATAAAAAAAGCAAAATGTGACCTTAATTATACCGTAACAAAGACCTTGACTAATTTTATGAAAAAAAAAAGTCATGATTAATAAGAGTTGAAGCAAGCTATTAATATGAAATTAAGAAAAGCAAAATCTGATCTTAATTATGCTGTAACAAAAACTTTGACTAATTTATTAAAAAAGAAAGTCATGATTAGTAAGAGTTGAAGCAAGCTATTTATGTGAAAATAAGAAAAGTGAAATGTGACCTTAATTATGCTATAATGAAGATCTTGACTAATTTTATGAAAAAAAAAGTTATAATTAGTAAGAGTTAAAACAGCTATTTATGTGAAAATAAGAAAAGTGAAACGTAACCTTAATTATACCATAACAAAGATCTTGACTAATTTTATGAAAAAAAAATCATGATTAGTAAGAGTTGAAACGACCTATTTATGTGAAATTAAGAAAAGTGAAACATGATCTTAATTATGCTATAACAAAGACCTTGACTAATTTTATGAAAAAAAAGGTCATGATGAAGCGACCTATTTATGTGAAATTAAGAAATACGAAATATGACCTTAATTATGCCATAATGAAGATCTTGACTAATTTTATGAAAAAAAAAATCATGATTAGTAAAAAAGATGAAGCGACCATTTATGTAAAAATAAGAAAAGTGAAACATGACCTTAATTATGCTGTAACGAAGACCTTGAATTATTTTATGAAAAAAAAAAAGTTATGATTAGTAAGAGTTGAAGCAACCTATTTATGTGAAATTAAGAAAAGTGAAACCTAACTAATTTTATGAAAAAAAAGTCATGATTAGTAAGAGTTAAAGCAACCTATTTATGTGAAAATAAGAAAAGCGAAACGTGAGCTTAATTATACTATAACGAAGACCTATTAATTTTATGAAAAAAAAGTTATTATTAGTTAAAGGTGAAGCAACCTATTTATGAAATTAGGAAAAGCGAAACATGACCTTAAATAATTCTATAAAAAAAAAAGTTATGATTAATAAGAGTTGAAGCAAGCTATTTATATGAAAATAAGAAAGCGAAATGTGACCTTAATTATGCCGTAACGAAGATCTTGACTTATTTTATAAAAAAAAAGTCATGATAAGTAAGAGTTGAAGCAAGCTATTTATGTGAAAATAAGAAAAGTAAAACTTGACCTTAATTATACAAGACAAGTCACGTAATGTCTTTTCTTGTCCCTGTGATACCTTGAGAAATTGCTATTTTTTGCATCATGAAAGTAGAGAAAAAAAGTGTTGATTAGTAATAAGATCTCTTTTATAGTAAAATAAATTAACACTAACTTTCGTTATTATTACCATTGATATACTTTTCTTCGTTCAACCAAAATTACCAAAATCTTATGACACGTGATCCTGAAATAAGCAAAATATCTAAAAAAGAAAATAAAGTAAAGATATTGGTATTCAGGTTTATATAGAGTATACAAGTAACCGTTCAATAAAGTTAAAAGAGACTTAGTAAAGCCCCAGTAGTATTTCTACAAGGCCCATGCTCGAAAATACTCAGACCACATCTCACCATGCCTTGATTGACATCTATCATTTTTGGAATTGCGGTCTTGTTACTATATAGATTGTTGTAGTTGGATTAGATTATTTCATCACTGTATTATTATTCATGATCTCACAATCTTGAGTTATTTTATGAAAAAAAAAGGATAATTAGTAAAAGTTGAAGCAAGCTATTTATGTGAAAATAAAAAAACTGAAACGTGACCTTAATTATGCCATAACAAAGACCTTGACTAATTTTATTAAAAAAAATAGTCATGATTAGTAAGAGTTGAAGCAAGCTATTTATGTGAAAATAAGAAAAGTAAAACGCGATCTTAATTATACCACAATGAAGACCTTGACTAATTTTATAAAAAAAAAAAGTCATGATTAATAGGAGTTGAAACAAGCTATTTATGTAAAAATAAGAAAAGTGAAATGTGACCTTAATTATGCCGTAACGAAGATCTTGAATAATTTTATAAAAAAAAAAAGTTATGATTAATAAGAGTTGAAGCGACCTATTTATGTAAAAATAAGAAAAGCGAAACCTGACTAATTTTATGAAAAAAAGTCATGATTAATAAGAGTTGAAGTGACCTATTTATATGAAAATAAGAAAAGTGAAACGTGACCTTAATTATGCTATAATGAAGACCTTGACTAATTTTATTAAAAAAAAAGTCATGATTAGTAAGTAAAAAAAAGAAAAGCAAAATGTGACCTTAATTATGCCGTAACAAAAACCTTGACTAATTTTATTAAAAAAAAAGCCATGATTAGTAAGAGTTGAAGCAAGCTATTTATATGAAAATAAGAAAAGCGAAACATGACCTTAATTATGCAAGATAAGCACATAATGCAAAAGAATTAACCCAATTGATTCATTAGTATTAAGAGAAAATTTGAATTGTTTTTGCTACAGTAAGATCTATCATTTAATTATTTGAATTTTGGTTTATTTTTACTACTTTGTTTAATTACTTCATTATTTGAGTATTACTAAGGGAAAAAGGCACTTCAGAATTTCAATTATATAGACACAGCCCTAATAAATTAGATAGATTGTGTCTGTTAAAAAATATAATTTTGAAGTACCTTTTTTTCTTGGCACTACTTATTTGATATGAGTAATGGGATATGAAAACCTGTAAATCATTTCATCCATTATCATCGCACCTCTAATTCTTATATAAGTAAATATTACTGTAATGACAATAAGTGAAATGATTTACAGGTTTTCATATCCCGTTACTCATATCATTGTTGGTTTGTCACAATTATGTAACTGTAATAAGTGAATGATTGATAACTTATATAATAATAGAATTTAAGCTTCAAACTATATATCTAATTGATAATTTTGTGGTTTCGCAAAGCTCAGTTTGATCGTTTCATTAAAAAAGTTAAATCAGTTTTAAATAAGATCTTTTGATTGATTTTCTTTTTCTTTCTTTGAAATTTAATCAATATCTAAATAAAGTAATTATTGATTTTCAGATTTTCACATGAAATGCTTTATTTAGTAGCAATATAAAATAATAGATTGATATTACCATATAAAGTAAGTGGTTTAAGTGCAAGGAATTCAATATCTATGAGAATAACTAAAAGCCACTTCCATTGTACTCGCACGTTAAAATTGATAAATTAAATCTATATTGATCTTAAAACTTGTAAAATATAAAATTGAATAGTGAAAATAAAGAAAAATAAAATAGAATTTGGAAGTTTCATTCAATTGCATGTTGCTTCTAATAAGGAGAAATTGCAAAAAAGAATTTTTTTATATTCTAAGATTTAAAATCTTACAAGATCTAAAAGTCACTAGTAGTGTAGTAATTTTATATAAAAGAACCAAATTTACATGTAGTTTACATTTATAATTATACATTAAATATTTTTTTTATTTTTATTCTTATATTACTCATATTTCTCTAAACCATATTTTTTCTTATCTTTAAAATGAATAGCATGATATGTGAAGTTGTTCCGTCTATTCATGGCAGAGACAAAATTAATGTATATGGTTTCCTTATGTATAAGGATAAAAGTTGAAGAAACACGTTCTACTAGTATTGCGAGAAAAGGGATTCACTAAGCTGTAACGGACGTGCCATAACCAGATTAATCAACGATCAATATTACCTTCAAAGTATGTCAGATCATAATTATGAAGTGAGTGCAAGCTGATCAGAAGTTGCTAGAGTGATTGCAAGGATTAGAGAACAGACACGTCAAACTTCTGAATCACCAGCTTAAATAGTACAAACAGCGATTATCAACAGCTCTCAAAATATTTATCTGTACCTTCCTTCATTCAATGCTATTCGGCAAACTATTCAAAGAGTATGTCATTTAGACCTTCTCACAGAACTGCTAACTTTGGATAGTTTTGTTATTCCCGATCATATGAAACAAACTTTGAAAGTATCAGATTTTTTAATTAGCGATACTACTATAAATCAAAGCAGAATATTAATTTTTACAACAGCCGATAACATTCGTCATTTGAACCATTTACCTTATTGGATCATGGATGGGACCTTTAAAATAGTCCCGAACATTTTTAAGCAATTATACACTATTCACGATATCTTTATATTTAATTCAAGAATTACTAGTAGTGTTCAACACTATATAATTTTAAAATGAAAATTTTTGGGGTTCTAAGCATTTTTACTTAGAACTCAACCTTATATAATTTTCGAGATATAACAACTGTGGAGTTGAACACTATTAGTATGTTTTAGTTAATTTGTAATTTTATTTTTTTAATTTAAGTTTTTTAATTTAGTATTTCATTTTCTAATTTTTTTTTGTTATTTTTGTTTTCATATTAATATTTATTTATTTATTATTATTATTTGATTTAATTTTATAGTGTGAATATACTGTTTTAGGTTGTATCGGTAGTAATAAAAACTCAAGAATTATGCCTTTGGTTTTCTTCTTAATGATTGAAAAGTCTATGGAATCTTATAGAAGGTTGTTTCAAGGTTTGATAGATTTTGCCAAGAAGTACGACGTTGATTTGAGTCTACAAATAGTTCTTACAGATTTTGAAGTAGCCGCCATAAATACAGTTTAATCTGAATTTGAAAATATTCAGAACAAGGGGTATGAAGATTTTTAATTAATTTTTTAGTAAATCTTTTTTTTTTCCTTAAGAAAATGTGATTAGCGTTCAATGTTTAGTAAATTTAATTTTAAATATATTAAAAATTTAATGTGCCATTTCCACCTTGCGCAAAGTGTCTACCGTAGAATTCAAGTGTTTGGGCTTGCTACACACTATGGAACAGATAAAGATTTTAGTATTTTAATGAGGCATATTCCTGCCCTCGCATTTTTGCCACATAGTGAAATACCTGCCATGTTCGATGAATTAAAGGTTCATATTTTAGTTGAGGCTCATAACATCATTTAGTGGTTCGAGAACAATTACATCCATGGTAGAGTTAGATGTGTGCATAGGAATGGCACTTTAGTTCAGTCTGAACTATTCTTTCCCCCCAATTTTTGGTCTGTATCTGAAAATGTTGAGTTTGCTTACCAGAGAACTTAGAATGCGGTGAAGAGTTGGTACCAGAAATGGGAGACGTTGGTGAGTTGTACGCATGTTGGGGTTTTTAAGATAATCAGGGAACTTCAAAAAAAACAGAACAAGGTTGAGGTTAGCATTGAGGTGATTTTACGAAGTGTGCCAAGGCCACCATTGAGAAGGCAGGCTATAGAGCATGAACTACATATACAGTCAGTGTATAATGATCATAATCATTGGTCTTTTATGGAATACCTTCGTGGTATTGCATATAATCTCTATTTTTAGCTTTATTATTTTTAAAAATTTATTTTTTATTTTTTGATTTTGAAAATTTTAAGATATTGCATAAATAAAATATCTATAGAGCATGAACTACATATACAGTCAGTGTATAATGATCATAATTGTTGATCTTTTATGAAATACCTTCGTAGTATTGCACATAATCTCTATTTTTAGCTTTATCATTTTTAAAAATTTATTTTTTATTTTTTGATTTTGAAAATTTTAAGATATTGCATAAATAAAATATAAGTTTTATAATTTGTTTGCTTTACTGGTTTATTAATTTGTATATAGTTGACTTTCTATAAATACACATTATTGATTTTGTAAATGTAATTTATGTAATGAGTGTCAATTAAGGGAAAACCTGTTATCAGGCTTTCAATTATATTTTGTACTGATAATAAATTACATAGATTGTGTCTGGTACAAAATATAACTGAAAGCCTGATGATAGGCTTTTCCTTAACAGCATATAATTGAACCAAATCACTATTCATTAGTATACATTTCTCCAATATGCTCTTACAGAGTACTTAGAAAATTTTGCAATTTAAAATTTTGCTCAACAGGATAATAAAAGATAACAGAATTTATTGACTTTGCACTAATATGAGGAATTTAAAGAAATTTGTATTTAGGGGGTTAACTATATATAATATAGCTATTTTAATTACTAAAAATACTTATAATTTTATTTATGCAATACATATTTTTAATTTTGACTAATATTCTCTTTTGCACAATATAATTAATCATAAAGATTAAATCTTTAATCTCAACCTTTTTTATAAAATAACATAGAGTCTATTTTTTATAAATAATTCGAGTCAAGGTTTTCACATTACGCATAATTAAGGTTACGTTTCACTTTTCTTATTTTTACATAAATAGGTCGCTTCAACTCTTACTAATCATGACTTTTTTTTTTATAAAATTATTCAAAGTCTTCATTATGCCATAATTAGGTTACATTTCACTTTTCTTAATTTCACATAAATAGGTCGCTTCAACACTTACTAATTATGACTTTTTTTTTTATAAAATTAGTCAAGGTCTTCATTATAGCATAATTAAGATCATCTTTTGCTTTTCTTATTTTCACATAAATAGCTTGCTTCAACTCTTACTAATCATGACTTTCTTTTTTAATAAAATTAG